TCACTGCACATGGACCTCACAGCTGTTTGCTCCCCTTTGGGGGCCTTTACTTCAGCTGTTTTCTCTGGAACAGTCTTCCCTCATCAGCATGGTGAGCTTCCTCCTACCTTCAAGTCTTCGCTCTAATCTCACCTCTTACCCTGACTACTTTACCTTCCCCATCCCACCCCTCCAAAGACTCTCAAATCCCCATTATTCTGCTCTACTTTTCCTTCTTTCCATGCATTTGCTACCTTCTGGATGCTATACTTTTTTCCCAAAGTATTTCTTGTGCTTATTGTTTATTATCTATCTCTCTCTATCCCTGCTACCTCTAGTTCTCTGTCTCTTTTGTTCACTGATATATTCCAAGCACATATTACAGTGCCTGGAACATAGTAAGTGTTCAATATGTTTGCCGAATGAAATCAAGTAATTTGTTCAGTTATATACTTAGCAAATTAATAGAAAGCACTTTCTCTGTGGAAGGCACACAGTTGAGTGGATACAAAAGGAACGAGGCAGGGTTCCTGCTCACGTACAGTTTATCATCTAGTAAGAAGAACAGGAAGTACATACACAACTGACACACACATCAACGGGACTGAGACCAACTGGCCTCAGGACTTGAGGAATGCCGAGAAAAAGAGCTATAGGACTCAGAGGAGAGCAAGTTCGCCTCTAACTGGACTCATTCCAGGTGGCTTTGTGGATGGAGTGTTTGAATTGGACTTTGGAAGACAGGTTTTAGTTTGATAAGGAAACATAGAGGAGTTTGAGGAACATAAACTACCTTGAAAGGCATGAAAGTGGCAAAAGGAAAGGACATTTTCATGTATTAATAATTTAATAATGTCAATAATAAGTTATAGTTGTATTAATATGGTGTCATTTATTTGGACTATAAGACCTTTGTAGGAAAGGAAAGGTAAAGGTATTCAATTATCTCAAACATATAGGAGCAGAATGATAGTTGGGACCATTTTTAGGGAGCATTGAATGCCGAGCTAAGGAGTTAAGCTTAATTTATCTGATAGGACACCAAGGTAGAGTTTGGAGCAGGGCATGGGAGAAGGCAGATGGCACAATCATACTGAATTTAGGTGAGCTCCTTGAGGGCTGCAATTTTGTCTTACTCACCTTTAGACCCCCAGTGCCTGCCATGGCACCTGGCATATTAGGAGGTGTTCAAAAAAATACTAGTTTACATTCCAACCAATGATTAGGGAGATGGTAAAAAATTTTGTCAAATAAACAAGTCACATTCTGGAAGTTGTAGGGAGGATGAATAGAAGGAAGGATAATTAAGGATAATAAAGCACTAAAATATGGTCACTTCAGTGAAAGGAAAGGATGGGTATAAGAGACGCCATGAAGGAAGAACCAACAGAACTCGGAGACTGGTCAGATGTGAGGGTCGAGAGTGGCTGAAGGATGAATTCTCCCCCAAGACAATCTAAATCTCCTCAACTCATAACACACACAAACTACAAGACTTTTTGAAGTGACACCAAATTTGGAGGTATGTGCAAAGATTCCAGTGTGGATTTAGAAACTAACATCTAATTAAAACAATCAACCATTGACTTTTAAAGCAGCAACTATAGATGATTTGGGGAAAAATTAAGTATAACTGTAGGCATTCATCAGTTTATAAATGTCAGGCCTCTGAATGCTTGGATGTGGGTGAACAGAGGTAATTCTTAGGAGACAGCAAGTGGAGGTGTGCAAAGCTTAGGTCTTGATGCCTGGCAGACCTGGGTTGAAGGCCTTTCTCAGTTACTGACTAAGCTATGTGGCCTGTCAGAGAAACCTGGGGTTTCATTTGCTGTGAGTTAATGATTAAAACAGTAGACAGTTATGTGAGAATTCAGTGAGATCATGTAAAGGGCCTGGCACACAGTGGGTGCTTCAGAAATGTTAATCCCCCCTCCCTAAACTTCTTTTCTTCTTCTGCATCCAGTGGAGTACCCCTACCTCCAACACAATTCTGGCCAAAACATACTTTATTTATAATGACAGCTCCATGAAAGGTTGTGTTTGTAATATGTATGCTATTTTCTTTTATTCTGTGCCAGCATCCAGGCCCCCTCCATTTCCTCCCATTTTTCTGGTGCTAACCTCCAAATATGGTTTCACCGGCAAATTTCCCAAGTATCCGTTTATTCTGTCTTCAGGAAGATTATTAATGAAGATGTTAAGTCAGGCTGGCATAAATAACAATGCTTAAGGCAATTCTCCAGACGCTTTTGTTCCACTCAACAGGGATATGGCGTCATTTATCATTAAGTCTTGTTACAGTTTTCCGGCCCCTTGAAAAACTCACGTGAGGGCACTTATGTCACATCCACTTGAATTAGTCTTGCAAGTGAATGCTCATGAGTGACTGAATTAAATGTCACAGCAGGGATAGAACATCTGTTACATCACACTAACCTATCACTCTCTGCTCTCATAAATCTTTACAATCAAAACAAATTAGTCTAGTATGTTATTTCTCATAAACATTGTCTTTTGCTGTGTGTAGCTCATGCCCAAAAGGAGATAACAGACTGGTTGATAAAAGTAACAAAATCTCATCACAGGTTCAAACCTGGTCAAGTGGTGCGTAAGGAATAATGACTCCTTGGCAAAGAGAAATGAATGGCAATAGAGCAGCCTGTACAGAGAGAGCTGGAATAAGACTCCACCTCGTGAAACTCATTCTACAAAGTCCTGGGGAGAAATCATGACCTGGTTTTAGAACCAAGAATAGTGGCAGTTTTCTTGAACTTGTTTTTTCCTAATAGACCCTAGCTTGTGTCACTCCTGGGGGATTCTCTTTTCCCATTTGCTGAAGAAGTTGAGCATTACACAGATGGCACAGATATAGTGGCAAGAAGAGTGGGGTTGCATAATGATGGAGTAGTTTTCAGTGTCTGTCCTGGCTCCATCAGTCTCCATATTATTTTCCTTGCTGCTTTCCCCTCACTTTTTTTTTTTAAATTTTTTTTCGGTACGCGGGCCTCTCACTGTTGTTGCCTCTCCCGTTGCGGAGCACAGGCTCCGGCCGCGCAGGCTCAGCGGCCACGGCTCACGGGCCCAGCCGCTCCGCGGCATGTGGGATCTTCCCGGACCGGGACACGAACCCGTGTCCCCTGCATCGGCAGGCGGACTCTCAACCACTGCTCCACCAGGGAAGCCCCCCTCACTTTTTTTTAATTGTGGCAAAATACACATAATATAAAATTTACCATCTTAACCGTTTTTCAGTGTACAATTCAGTGTACTAAGTACACTCGCACTGTTGTGCAGTCATCACCCCAATCAAGCTCTAGAATTCATCTTGCAAAGCGGAAACTCTGTGCCCACAAAACAATGTTGTGTTGGCCAAAATATTCGTTCGGGTTTGTCCGGAAGATGGTGTGGAACAGCCCGAACGAACCTTTTGGCCAACCCAGTAACTCCCTATTCACTCAGCTCCCCTGGGAACTTCCATTGTTTCTGGCTCCATGAATCTGAATCTGACTATTTCAGGTACCTCATATAAGCAGAATCACACAATTGCCCCCTACTTTTTTCAACTTAAGTATAGTTGATATACAACATTGTATGTTACAGGTGTACACTATAGTGATTCACAGTTTTTAAAGGTTATACTCCAGTATAGCCAATTACAAAATATTGGCTATATTCCCTGTGCTGTACAATATATCTTGTAGCTTATTTTAGACATAACAGTTTGTACCTCTTAATCCCTTTCCCTTACATTTCCCCTCCCCGCTTCCCTCTCCCCATTGGTAACCACTAGTTTATTCTCTACATCTGTGAGTCTGTTTCTTTTTCGTTTTATTCACCAGTTTGTTGTATTTTTTAGATTCCACATAAAAGTGATATCTCTGTCCTTGTCTTTCTCTGTCTGACTAATTTCACTTAGCATAATGCCCTCCAAGTCCATCCATGTTGCTGAAAATGGCACAATTTCATTATTTTCTTTGGCTAAGTAGTATTCCATTGTGTGTGTGTGTGTGTGTGTGTGTGTGTATATACACCACATATATATGTATGTATATACACCACATCTTCTTTGTCCATTCATCTGTTGATGGAAACTTAGGCTGCTTCCATGCCTTGACAATTTAGCCTCACTTTTAATAAATGCTATCTTCCCGTATTTTTTGTAAGTTTATAACACCTCTTGAAACAAAATGGAGAGTGAATAAATAAATAAGAAAATAAAGGGAAAAGATTTCTTGGAGACTAGAAGAGTTCTATTCTCTGTAAATGAAGTCAGTGGTAAGGCCATAATGTTTGCTAATATAGAACAAAACACAATAGGTTGTAAGAAATATTCATTATTTAAATGGTTAGCTAATGTTCAGACAGGCAGCATACTTAAGGTCAAAGGAGAGATTGGATGTAGTAGAGGTTTCCACAAAGGAAGAAATATCAAGATAGTTGAACAAGGAAGCAACTGTAGATTCAAACCCAGACCTAATGGGCTAAGTGCCGATATACTGATCACGAAGATTATTGACAGTGGTTCTCAGACTTTAGTGTCCACAATAATAAATCACCACAAAGCCACCAAAACAAGACTGCATTGACTGGGGCACATATCACACCAGAGGTTGTGAGGCCTGCCTCTGTTCTGTTGAGTAGTGTGATTTTGGATTATATTATGCACATAGCCCTACGGTATCCATTACTACCTACTTTTACTGCCTCACTTTCTTTCTTCTACACTGTTACCTGAATGCGCTTTCAAAACCAGACAGAGACAGGACTGCGGCTGCTAGAAATAGACCCGCATTCAGCCCTCTGGTGGAAGGTCAGCGGGGCCTTGACCCCCACACACACTATTATTATAGCCTTGAGAATAGGCCTGCGGTTGTTTTATTTTGTATTTCTGCACTGCCTCTATGTCATCAGGTACCAACTGGCCAGAGGGAAAATACTGGCCTCCACGGAGCTGTGTTCAGTGAGAGAGATCGGTATCTGGCTTCTCCCCCATTTATAGTTTTAATTTTCTTTCTTTCTAGAATATGTCTGTGCTGGAGAATCACCACTGGCGATCTACGATCGGCATGCTTCGAGAATCAAGACTTCTGGCTCACTTGCCAAAGGAAATGACGTAAGTGACGTAGAGATGAAACATACCGATGTCCACACATTAGAGATAAGCCGCTTTCTCTTGGGCTTGAGACCGCCAGGGTTAATGGCAGGGAGCCAGCCCGCTGTGCTTCCGGGCCCGTGCTGCCTTGGTTGCCTATCAGAGGAGATGCGGTGTCAGTTACAGCAACCCAGAAACCAGAATCCCTCTGTGAACTCTGAAAGGGCCTGGAGAGTGTAGGACCTAACGTCAGGAAAAGAGATAATAAACAGCTCTCAGCTTTCACACTCTTCGGCATCAACGCTGTGCTTTGCCAAATTCCTGTCTTTTATGTTAGCAAAATTGTCCTCCTGTGTAGATCCAAATAATAAATATTTATCAAGAAGGAACACAGGAGTTCCCAAGCTAGACTGAAGCCTAGTTCAATAAAGCGTGTTTTGTTATTGCCAGTCTTAGCAAAAGGAGAAGTCAGGAATTCTTTTCTAAAATGTCTTTTGTTAAGTAACTGAATTGGCCCCAGCAATTTTTTTCACCAGGAATTTACCTATGTCTCTTGCATTTTAAACAGAAAGGGAAATACTAGTTTCCTGGTCCACTGTTCGTTAGCCCAGGTATTTAGGTCGAGTCCTACTAAATCCAAGGCCATGGCCTCATTTCCACCTGGCCTCAGTTTAGCTGCTGTACCATATTGGCCTTAATTTAGCTGCTGCACTGTCTTCCAAGGTCACCGCTAATTCCTATCTGTTTAATTCAAATGCACAGAACCCAGGGTAGCTAGGAGGGAAAAAGTAAATAGATCCCTGCACCATCTTTCTGAAGGGCACACAACTTAAGGTCAAGGACCACGTGGGGTCTCTCGGTAAAGCAGGCAGGATGCTCTGGGCTCGCACGTTTACCCCTGGCACGCTGATTCTATCTCATGCTGTTCCCTAGCACCCAGAAGAAAGTGGAATTTGTGGAAGGAACTTCAATTCTGATAAAATTTTACCCCCGAAACCAAATAAAACCAATCCTCACACATGGAATAAAAACTCGTGCCTCTTACTAAAACAATACATTGCAAAGATCGAAAGAATTAAGTGCAAAAAGAACTAAAAACTAGAGCAAAAAATCAAGTAAGAAGGAGGAGGAAGGAAGAGGTGAATGGTAAGGAAGCCAAAGAAAGAGAGAAGAAGGGAAGGAAGGAGAAGGAGACAGGAAGGAATTAAACAACAGGAAAAAGGGAGGAGGAACCTGGGACCAGATTTGTCCCTGTAACGCCCTCCTTAGTCCTGCTCGTTGCTCAATTAATATTCATTTCCTAAGATACTTCTACTCATCCCTATGGATTCCAAATAAAAATACTATATTTTTATATGTTTTGTGGAACATAGTGTTATAAATTGCTTTTGCTAGAAGAAAAACTGTTATGCAATAATGTACGTGAAAGGACTTTATAATGAAATTTACGGTCATCCTACTCATAGTGAGTATCCTATCCTCATGTAAATGCCTTCAAATCATTTTTCTGATTCTGAAAGACAGGTTAACCATACACACTAAGGAAAAAATCAGAAAAGTATTAGTTTGCACCATATGAAGCTGCTGTTTTTGAGAGCCCAGAACAGTAGAATATTGGCAGTTTCATATGATTCAACCTAATAGGAAGAAGAAAAATGAGATTACTGGTAATCCGGCAGTCCAGGAATAGCAAATGTTAACCTGGCTGGTTTGTTTCCTTCTAGTCTTTTTTTCAGTATAACTATATTTTAAAGAAATGGGGAAGTTATCTCATACAGTGTATGTCCTGCTATTTTTCACTTACTGTAAAGGCCTTTTTCCATATCATTAAACCTGCTGCTAAAATAAAGTACTGCATTCCATTGCATCAAATTGTATTGACTATTGCCTATTGTTGGGAATTTAGATGATTTCCAAATTTATGTCATTACAAATAATGCTTAACAAGCATCCTTAAACATATATTTTTATCCCAAACTACGATATTCTGTTTTCTCAGAAACTGTTTGTGGTTAGGAGTTATTGATCAGAAAGAAAGGTGTGAATTTTTAAGGTTCTTGTTGTATACTATCAAATTGCTTTTCCAAAAAGCTACATCTACCTGTATTCCCACTGGTAGATTATGAGAAAATCTACCAATGTACCATCACCAAAATTGAGTTTTATCTCCATTACCTTTTTAAAATATTTGCAGATTTGACAGAGAGAGAGAGAAAGAAAGAGAAGGAGAGAGAGAGAGAGAGAGAGAGAGAGAGATTCGTTGATAACAAATGAAACTAAAAATTTTTCATGCATTTACTGGCCACTGTTATTTCTTTAGAGAACAAAATTTTGCATTTGATCTTTTCTTATTTTCTTATGAGTGTTGTTATTCATTTGTAAGAAGTTTTTGTATTTTAACTACAGTAACCATTTGTTATATGTTGTAAATATTATTTGAAGCTTTTAGTTTGCCTTTTAACCTGGTTCATGCAACATTTCACCTAACTAAAATAGTTATGTTTCCTGGTTATAAATTTAATAAATATTCATTTTTAAAGAATTCATACAATATTGAAAATTATTTTTTAAGTGAAAATCATTCATAATTCCCCTATTATATGTCTTTCCAAATTCTTCTCTATGACCATAGAGATCATGTCTTACATACTTTGTATCCTGTTTTTTAACATAACAGTAAAACATGGTATTTTTCCATGTCAATAAATATAGCTATACATCATCATATGAAATAATTGCATAGTATGCTTGTAACATGGCTCATTTAACCAATCTCCTATTTATGAATTCTTGTGATATTTTTCTCCCTAGAATGTTGCATTATTTTAAACAACAATAGGATAAACATTCTTATAACATATATCTTTACTAACTGTGTCTCTACTAACATGTTCATAGTAAATTTGTAGATGAACTGTTGGTCAAATTATTTATATTTATCGCTTTTAACACTAATTCCTAAATTACCCTTCAGGAACACTGCACCAGTTTACACTCTGGCTAACAGAGAATAAGAAGGGAGATTTCCCCATATCGTCAACAGCATTAAGTATCACAATCATTAATTAATTCATCATATTATTTAGCAGTTACTTTTAATCCACGCCAATAAAAGTGTGGGAAATAGTATCACATCGCTGTTCTCATATTTTTTGTTATACTAAGAATATTTAATATCTTTTCATATTTTGGGAACATTTTAAATTTCTTTTGTGAATTGCCTGTTTTCTGAGATTATTTCTAATGTCCAGGAGTAGATTAAAGATGTGTATGTGGCTTAAAAACAAAAATGTTAATGATGAAACTATAAAGCTTTTAGAATATAATGTAGGGGAATATTTTCATCAGAGGTAGGAAGGATTTCTTAAATAGGAGAAAAATATTAACCTAAATAAAAATATTTATAGGTTAAGCTATATTAAAAATTAAGACTTCCTTTCATCAAAAGACATCATAAATAAAACAGAAAGACCAGCCACAGAGTGAGAGAAGATATTTGCTACACATAAGTGACAAAAGACCATTATTGAAAATATATTAAAAACTCTTAGAAGCAATAAACAAAACAGAAACCACCCTATAGAATAGTAGGTAACGACTAGAATAGAAACTTCACCAAAAAAATAGAAATGGCCAATAAACACATGAAAATATGTCCAACCCCATTAGTTATCAAGGAAATTCATAGTAAGATTATAATGAGTTGCGCGACATTGGCAAATGGGCAAAAAAAAATGTAAAGTGTAAGACTATAAAGCAATGAGAACCTCATCTATTACTGTGGAGTGTAAATTTATACAACTGTTTTGGAAATAATCAGCAATATCTAAGAAATTGAAGATGAACATCTCTGTGATCCAATAATTTTATTCCTGGATATAGTCCCTAGAGAAACTTTGCACATGTGTAACTGGAGGTACATGAGGGTGTTTATTGTGTCATTTTTTCCATAGTAGTCAAAAGCTAGAAACTACTCAAGTTACCATCAAAAGTAGAACAGATAAATACATTGAAGTATAGTCCTACAATAGGATACAATATAATCAAGAAAATGGATGAACGACAGCTCACACATCAACTTAGGTGACTTTCAAAAATATGTTAGGCTAAAGAAGCAAGTCACAAACTGATACTTATCACATAACTTAACGTGCAAAAGCAGTTAAAGTTAAACCGTATTATTTAAACATGCATACACAGGTGGTAAAATTGTTATAAGTAGCAAGGAAATTATTAAAACAAAGGTCAAGAGAGTGGTTACTTCAGGGGTTGAGGGGAGGTGGGGTTGGATGAGAGACACAATGAGGACCTTCTGGGGTACTGGCAGGCAACAATCTTGACCTGGATGGTGATTGTAAGATGTTTATTTGATATTTATTCATTAAATTGTATATGTGTACTCTATGCTCTCTACTTAAGTATACTTCACTTTTAAAGGTGAATTTTAGAAATAGGTACGGATATTCCTCCCATTGATTACTTTCCATGTGTGAGGATAAGCTCTGATTTGTTTTATTTTTCCAAAATATCCCATTTTCCATATATCATCTGTTGACCAATATATTGCTTGACCACTGCTTTTTAATGGTGCCTTAATCAACTGTGATTCTTTTTTAAGTTCCAGTATCTCTTTCCAACCTATCAGTTTTGTTCCCTTGAGGGGTCTTTCCATTCCACAGAATCAGTCACTATTATTGTCTTCATTACTGTTACTATTATCATGCCCATTTCTCTCCCCATGCAAATCTTAAAGTTTGAGTTGGTTTGAACTCTATAAAAAGCACAATTCAAATGCCTGTGATTCTGTGAGTCTTTCTGGGTCCTCCTTAAAGCATACATTTCTCGTTGGCTTTCGATCTTCCCACCCATAGGAACCATGGGAATGTATAAACTGCCACAACTCTGTTCACCCATGGTTTCAATCTCTTGTCCAGTCCTTGACATACATCCCATCCAAGGACAGAAATGATGGTGGGTGAAAGAATCACTCTCGGGCTGCAAGGACTGGGATTCTGTGTAATAAACAGAATCAGAGGCAGAAATGAGAGTACAAGCCACCTGATGATGACAGAATCCATCACCCTCCTCAGAGGAATTTGCTTTGTGTGTGTGTTTTCTCTTTCATTCTTGTGGATGCAGACAGGATATTGAACAGCAGCTGGGCTCCTTGATCTTGGCAACAGACATCAACAGACAGAATGAATTTTTGACCAGATTGAAAGCTCACCTCCACAATAAAGACTTAAGCCTGGAGGATGTACACGACAGGCACTTTATGCTTCAGGTAAACAACAACAACAAAAAGAAGTCATTACCCTCACTGGGAATAACACTTAAGGACACGATCCATCATTTTAATGCATCTGAGAAGAAATGTCTCCCATGGTATAAGCTAGAGCGGTGACCTACTTTATTAAAAACTTTGAGACATGAAATTTTTAAGTGGTTTCCAAGCAAGTAAAATCTGGGTTTCACGTCAGTAAGTTGACAATATCTCATTTTTCCTTGTTTGGTAACTGCTTCACCACAACGTAGCTCTGCTGTGTAGTTGCATGCAGTAAGAATCTACCACATTTTCTGCCTTGATATAAAGCTGATCACTATCATACCTGTGCAATGTAGAAAACTGTTTCTTTAATACAAAAGTATATTATGTTAACTATAGTACTAACGAAAATTGAAAAACGAGTATCCTTCCTTTACCTAAAGCCTATTTAATTAAACCCTGCTTTCCTTCCTTTTACTACCTTAACTCATATTTTCATCTGAGGCTCAGACGTGTTTACCTAGTCTTACCATTTTTAGGCACCAATAAATAAATGATTTTAAGTTTAATTGAATGAATTGAATCATATCAAGCCCAACCCTTTCTGCTTCCTTCCATGGCAAAAAGCCATTTGTGAAAGTTAAGAAAGAACAAGATGGGAAGTGGACCTTGGAAGCAGAGGTCTGACCTGCTGTATCCAAACCAGAGCCTTTTGCTTGGTCTTCCATTTTCTCTCATTTTCCTTCTTTCCTTTTGGCACAAAAGACTGAATGAGTGAATCCTGGATGCATCTAGATAGGCCAGCTTTAACCACGGACGTGGACCTGCACGTGGGAGACTGAACCATACCGTTTCTTCCCTTCCATGCCTTCAGGCTGCCTTCGGAAGCTGTCCAACTGTTCCATCCTTTTAAGGAAATACCCTCCTCCCAGCTGTAAAACTGTATCTCCCTCCTTCTTTCTTCCCAAACTAGTCTTCTCGTCCCTGAGTGCCACAGACGCCTGATTTTAGAGACTCAAGCCTAGTTGTGACTAGCTGAAAGATTTGGCCTGGACACTTGCATTTCAAAAGGAAAACTTGCTAACACACACGAATCCCTCAAGGGCGGAACCTGGAGAGGACTTCTGCCCCTGACCTACTCCAACATGTACTGGTGTCCCCATTCACCAGAAAATAAAGAACCAACCAGGTTTGCAACTTAATATGATTCAGGCTCTCCCAGACCCCAGCACTGCTGGCAGTTCTATGATCCCAAAGAACTCGGTCCAAACCAACAGACCTTGCTGATGGATGGGCATGCCACCAAAAGCCCATCTGGGAAGTGGGCTCTTGGCAGTTGGTAGTTAAGGGGGAGAACTTATTTCTCTGGAAATCCAAGGAAACCCTCCTAGGGTCAGCATCTCTGACAAAAGCTGGTATCCCAGATGCAGAACAGTGTGAGCAAAGCCAAGAAGGCCCAGATTTATCTCTGCAAACCAAACACTCCTAGGCTTGATATGACTCAGCTCCCTGGCTGGCAGTCTGAGCTTGTTCACACAGACACGGGCATATAAATGCAAACACAATTTAATGTATGGAGTCGGTCAGTGTGGCCACTGTGAGAGTGAGGTCCCAATGTGAGTAAAGCCAAGAAGGCCCAGATTTATCTCTGCAAACCAAACACTCCTAGGCTTGATATGACTTAGCTCCCTGGCTGGCAGTCTGAGCTTGTTCACACAGACACGGGCATATAAATGCAAACACAAATAATTTAATGTATGGAGTCGGTCAGTGTGGCCACTGTGAGAGTGAGTGAGGTCCCAATGATCTCACTTGAGCCTGGCTGGGGCCCCTGCGGCCTCCCGGCCCACAAGGAGTGGAGCAGCAGGAACAGGGCAGGCCACGGCTTTCCTTGGCCTGCCTGCCCCAAGTCTCCTCCAGGTAGCTCCGTGTCCTTGGACGATGGCTCTTCTCTCCTTCTCACTGCTATAAAGTGGGAGTTCTGAATGAAGGTTTTGTGCCGTGATGAATAAGTGCTGTTTTCCTGAAGAGGCACGTCAGGGAAGCCTCTATAAATACAGGCCTGGTACCATGAGGCCGACTGGCAGGTCTGATGGCCCCTTGGGCTTGGGGTGCATTTGCTGCTCAAAGATCATTCTCTTACCCTCTCTCCCTGCCCTGTCATTTCTCAGATTGCCTTGAAGTGTGCTGACATTTGCAATCCTTGTAGAATCTGGGAGATGAGCAAGCAATGGAGTGAAAGGGTCTGTGAAGAATTCTACAGGCAAGGTTAGTAGTGACCCGACAGCTGACTTTTCATTGCCCCTTCTCCTTTCAGGCATTTATCCTAAGAAAACAGGGAATGGATCATCTATCATGACATTTGTTCTTTCATCAACTCGTATTATCCCAGCCTTTCTCTTTTAACCCTCTTGCGAACCATCCAGCCCTTTTCTGGAAATAATTTGAAAATATTAATAAATAACACTGATTTACCATAGAAACAGGTAATAATGAGGTACAGTAAAAATGAGCAAAAGGGGGATATATATATATATATATATATATAATTTGTTAATGGTTTTTCTCTGTGGATATAAGAATGTGCAGGACTGTTTGATTTTTACTCTGACCTTCATTTTTATGAGCTGAGCACAGCCTAAATGCTAAATGCCATTTGGGATCAATGTTTTCCACTCTGACAGAAGGACTTAGACTTTTTTTTTGTATTCCTTTCCCTCACTTTCTTAAATAAAGTGAATAATGAAATAGAGCACAGCTGGCCAGTGTTCGTCCTCTCAAATATATACAGTGAAAAGACAAGTGGCCCCAAGTTAGGGTATAAATTTTAAGAGATTAACCTCATTCAGAAGTAAAGCAGTGAATTAACAGCAGGATCTTGATGTCGGGTGGGATCTTGGCCTTTAAACACAGCTTGTTTCTTCAGGCCCGGTTTCAGTGCTCGGTATGTTTTTTCAGGCACAACAGTGCCCTGATGTTAGTGACAGGATCAGGTCTGAGAGGCTGAGAACAAATAAAGCCTGAAGTGTCCCACATACCAGTTCTGTGGGGAGGTCAAGTAGCAACAGTGAGCCTTTTGGAGAAGCCTCCGTAGAAAGATGTGTCAGTGACACTGAGATGGTCCCAAAGACAGAAGACAAAGCAGAACGGATAGGGTTCATGTGGGACCAGCAGGCTGTGCTCCGCATCTCTTTCCTTTGAGTAAAAGCACGCATGGAGCTCCCTCTCTGTGTACTTTCACTTCAAATGAGTGTGAGTGGTTAGAAAACAAAAGGCCAGTTCTACTTGCCCATGATATAAAATCTCCACTGAGAGAAAAACAAAAGGAAATATGATGAACTTAGAGCAAGGAGGTTTCAGGTTAGATAAGATAAATACTTTCTTTACTATAAGATACAGAAAATATGGAAATAGCATAGCGAGAAAAGGGCTGGGATCTTCATCCTTGATCAAGCAATGATTCTACTCTGTCCCTCTTGGTTTTGACTCAGTCATGCGTTCTTGTTGGCATTGATTGGAGTTTAACCCTTTCATTTGCTTATCTTGAGCCCTATTTGGATTATGAGCAGTTTGGGGCCTGGACCATGTCCCCTGGGCAGATGGTAAGGCCCACAGAGCTGGTGAGTGGAAGTTGTTAACTAAATGGAATCAGTGGGATCTACCAATAAAGGTAATCTGTAAGATGTCTTGGCAAAAACTTGTCCTCATAATAATATGCATGTGCAGCATCATAAGATAGAACAACCTAGAATATTTGTAACTCTGATCACTAAAGGTGAGCTTTCAAACACTTTGCTGTGGCATGTTTCCTAGCAGAGAAAGGAGAATTCAGAGGGTATGTCGGGTCCTTTTTATTTAATAGCCTTATGGTCTAGCAGAAGTTCAGCTTATTTAAGAGAAGACCAGACTCTCGGGTTATCCAAACTCCTTGTCCTCCATACTGAATTATTTTTTTAGAAATTCTGTAATCACTTTGATTAATCTTCTTCTGGCTTTCAGTTTAGGATTTGGGCTTCCACAGACTGCTAACAGTCCCAGCCAAAGTATCTTTGATGATTTGTGATGTTGAGCAAAGGAAAAACCCTAAAATCAAGGTCAGGGACAGAAGGGGAAAGGAAGATGAGATCCCATGAATTAGGAAGACAGTGTTAAATTCTCAGAACAGACATTAGGATTCAAACATCATTCACCCTCGTCCCCTCAGTGCCTTAAAAAAGTAGAATTTCTGTCCTGTTGTAACTGCAGATTGGTATTTCTCAATGAACCAAGATTCCCAGAAGTTTTCATCGAACATCTGCTTCCAGCCTTGTCTAATCCTCAGCAAAGCTGTGATTTTCCTATGTGCAAAGACCCACTGGGGGTGTCATGAAGGAGGCAAAGAATTATAGTTAATGTTTCATAAGCTCAAAATACTAACCAGTAGAGTTCCTGGAGGAGAGAAACTCCAATCTTCCTCTTTGTATTCTCTACATTGATTAACAAAGTGTCTGAAATGTGCAGTGCTTTGTAAATATATGTTGAAATAAGTGAATGACTAAATGATCCAATTGGAAGACCAATTGTGGTAGAGGTCACAGGAGAAGACCTAGTGCTGAGGATGGCAGAATCTGAGCTGGGTATTCAAGGATGTGTAGTGACTGCACTTTCCAATAGGATAAACGTGAGGCACATGTAGCTAGTTAAATTTAAATTAATTAGGTTAAATAAAATGGAAAATTTAGTTCCTCAGTTTTCTTGATCTGATTTCAAGGGGCTACTATAGTGGGCAGTGCAGAGAACATTTCCATCATTGCAGACAGTCCCAGTGGTCTAGATAGAGAGGAGCAGAAATGGACAGAAGCACTGCAGACCATCCCCCTGCCTCATAGACCAGCTTGATCCCATAGAAGGTGAGAATATGAGGATCTGTTGAGGCCCCTGTACACCATGCTAAAAGTAGAGAACATGGCAGTGGGAGTCATCTTAGAAAGTACAATTAGGGCAAAATGTATAACTGAAGCAGAAGAAATACGAAAGAAACTAGCTAAGAAGCAAAAAATCGGAACGAGTTATAAAGAAACCAGATAAAGGAAATGTGGTGTATGTGTACAATGGAATACTACTCAGCCATAAAAAAGAATGAAATTTTGCCATTTGCAACAACATGGATAGACCTAGAGGGTGTTATTCTTAGTGAAATAAGTCAGACAGAGAGAGACAAATACTGTATGTTTTCACTTATCTGTAGAATCTAAAAAGTAAAACAAATGAATGAATATAACAAAACAGAAACAGACTCACAGATACAGAGAACAAACTAGAGGCTACTAGCGGGGGGAGGGAAGGGGGAGGGGCAAGATAGGGATAGGGGATTAAGAGGTACAAACTTCTAGGTATAAAATAAATAAGATACAAGGATGTGGGACTTCCCTGGTGGTCCAGTGGTTAAGACTCCATGCTTCCACTGCAGGGGGCGCAGGTTTGATCCCTGGTCAGGGAACTAAGATCCCACATGCCGTGCAGCCAAAAAAAACAATAAAATAAAGATAAATATTAAATTTTTTTAAAAAGGTACAAGGATGTAATGTACAGCACAGGGAATATAGCCAATATTTTATAATAACTTTAAATGGAGTATAATCTATAAAAATATTGAATGACTGTGTTGTACACCTAAAATGAATATAATATTGTAAATCAACTATTTTTCAATTAAAAAAAAGAAAGAAAGAAAGAAAGAAACCAGACTAGAGTCAGGCAGAGTGAAAGTAGGGAAAATAGATGTTTCAACAGAGGAGTAAACAGGATTTGCTTCCTCAATACAGAGGGTAGAGGGAAGGGAAAAATCAAAGACAACTCCTCCAAAGTGTCAGACTTAACTGAAAAATCACTATTAACAGAACTATGGAGGTGAGGAGTAAAACCAACTTTAGGAGAATTCATTTTAATATTAAATGGTGTCACGCTCTGCCCTCAGAAGGCTATTATCATCTGACTTCCCTGAACTCCTCAGTTAAGCCAAAGTGATTTCCTCACATCAGTTTTGAGAATCACGAGGGCCTGAGAGACCATGGGAGCCATGGCTAAAGTCTTAGGGAAAATGACAGACATGTGGCATCTCAAAAGATCCTAGCTTAATGGTTAAGTGCAGACCCTCTGAAGCCAGACTTTCTGGGTTGGAATCCAGGCTCCCCTCTTCACTGGCAGAAGGACCTTAGGTCAACGTATTTCCCTACGCTTCATCTCAATTTCGGCATCTGTAAAATGGGGGTTATAGTGAGGTTGTTATGAGGATTAAATTAATTAAATAGGTAAAATGCTTAGAACGTGCCTGACACACAGTGAGCATGATATAAATGTTATGTGTTTCTCTCCTCTAGTTTAGAGGAGTGCACTCACAACTGAACTCAGCTAAGTGTTTCTGAGACCCAGCTTCTGTACTGATTAACCAGATTGTTTTTCCCAATGAAGTAATTATGCACAATTTTTCACCTTCAGGAAGAATTGATAAAATACTTTGATAAAGCTTTGCATGATGTATTTCTTTTTTGCTCTAGCTGATGGAGACATTAAAAAGAAAGATCATCCTGAGCTTTATACTTTCTTTAACCTTCATTTACACTAAGTAAAACTCTAAGGAGTAAGAATGAAAGATACCAGACCCTTAATTTGGATTCGTTTTGTAGCTACAGAGATGCTCTTCAAATGAGATCTTTCTACTTCCTCTTCCCGATTTCCTGCCTACTAATTATTCCCGGTGGTTCAGGTGAAACCAGATGAGGGTCAGGCAGAGTGAAAGGAGGGAAAAAGCGTAAAACCTGTTTTCTTAATCTGCAACTTAAAACCAGAACTTCCATCTCATATTAGGAAACTGGCCATTCGTTTTCTTGTTTTTATAGATTTTTGTTCAAAAGCTTATTCTAATCCCAGAGCATACCTATTTACAATGAGCCTATTGTAAATGATCGTCGATACTCTGATATTTTAAATTTTCGCAGAAGCTACCAGAGCAGGGCAGAGCCAGTTGTTGCTAAAGGGTTCCTAGTGATAAGGCAGGGAACAGTAATTCCCAGATAACTTCTTCCAACTAGATCATTAAAACTATCAACACTCATAGGTTCTCGATTACCAATGTGTTTCTTCTTTTTTCTTCTTAGGTGACCTTGAACAGAAATTTGAACTGGAAATCAGTCCTCTTTGCAATCAACAGAAAGATTCAATCCCTAGTATACAAATTGGTGAGTCGAATTCAATTTTAATTTTAAATCAACAGTTTCAGCACCTCTGCTAAGAGTCACTAAGAAGATCTACACACAGCTTTCTCAAGATCCAAATGAGAGGTTTAATCAATGGCCCTTTGAATGGCTGAGTCCAAATGAACACTCTAGTCATGACTAATTACCAACTGAGATGAAAAATAGGGTAAAGGCTTTGTTACAGACCCTTAATAACTAACCTGTACTAACTTTGTAGTTCAGAATTGAATCAAAACCAAATGAGTAGAGGAAAGTAACAAGAATCAACTATTGGCTGCTGAAGATCGGATTAGCTCGCACTCTCTTTAGGACATGAAGGGTGGGAAATCTGCAGTTCAGGATCCTTCCAATTTGGTCATTACCCTTCATCCTCAATGTTCAATACTAGGGGCTTGGTCCCCAGGCCCAGGCCCCACCAGCCATGTGACATGGGATCCCATGCTTCTCTAGTCTTCACTTCAAAATGGATTTTCAGTCTCATTCTCTTAGGACCACACTCTCAAGTGTCAATTGCACTAAAATGTTAAACGGTGATGTTAATGCCTCTAAAGTAATTGTTTGTTTCTATCACTCCTTGAAACACTCTACCAATTCCATCTACGTTCAATGCAAGTCTTTCTGTTCCTTGCAGTTCCCTCCAATTAAAACCAAACTCAGTTGATGGACACTTAGGTTGCTTCCATGTCCTGGCTATTGTAAATAGAGCTGCAATGAACATTGTGGTACATGACTCTTTTTGAATTATGGTTTTCTTAGGGTATATGCCCAGTAGTGGGATTGCTGGGTCATATGGTAGTTCGATTTTTAGTTTTTGAAGAACATCCGTACTGTTCTCCATAGTGGTTGTATCAATTTACATTCCCACCAACAATGCAAGAGGGTTCCCTTTTCTCCACACCCTCTCCAACATTTATTGTTTGTAGATTTTTGACGATGGCCATTCTGACCAGTGTGAGGTAATACCTCATTGTAGTTCTGATTTGCATTTCTCTAATGATTAGTGATGTTGAGCATCCTTTCATGTGTTTGTTGGCAATCTGTATATCTTCTTTGGAGAAATGTCTGTTTAGGTATTATGCCCATTTTTGGATTGGGTTGTTTTTTTGACACTGAGCTGCATGAGCTGCTTGTATATTTTGGAGATTAATCCTTTATCAGTTGCTTCATTTACAAACATTTTCTCCCATTCTGAGGGTTGTCTTTTCGTCTTGTTTGTAGTTTCCTTTGCTGTGCAAAAGTTTTTAAGTTTCATTAGGTCCCATTTGTTTCTTTTTGTTTTTATTTCCATTTCTCTAGGAGGTGGGTCAGAAAGATCTTGCTGTGATTTATGTCATACAGTGTTCTGCCTATGTTTTCCTCTAAGAGTTTTATAGTGTCTGGCCTTCCATTTAGGTCTTTAATCCATTTTGAGTTTATTTTTGTGTATGGTGTTAGGGAGTGTTCTAATTTCATTCTTTTACATGTAGCTGTCCCGTTTTCCCAGCACCACTTATTGAAGAGGCTGTCTTTTCTCCGTTGTATATTCTTGCCTCCTTTATCAAAGATAAGGTGGCCATATGTGTGTGGGTTTATCTCTGGGCTTTCTATCCTGTTCCATTGATCTATATTTCTGTTTTTGTGCCAGTACCATACTGTCTTGATTACTGTATCTTTGTAGTATAGTCTGAAGTCCAGGAGCCTGATTCCTCCAGCTCCGTTTTTCTTTCTCAAGATTGCTTTGGCTATTCGGGGTCTTTTGTGTTTCCATACAAATTGTAAAATTTTTTGTTATAGTTCTGTGAAAAATACCATTGATAGTTTGACAGGGATTCCATTGAATCTATAGATTGCTTTGGGTAATGTAAAAAAATAAATAAATGAAATAGATAACTAATAAGAACCTGCTGTATAAAAAATAAATAAATAAAATTTAAAAAATAAAAATAAAAACATGTTGCCACATAAGTGAAATATAGCAGTTAAAGGCTGCATGTTAATTTCAAGATTTGTTAGCACAGAGATAATAAACTTACAAAAAAAAAAAAACTCAGAACTTTAACTCTTTACTTATAAACTATGGCCCTGACATGTACCATTTCATGTTTTTCACCAGTTCCCACAGACCTCAGACAGCTTAACACATTCACAGTGTTGCAAACCTCTGCAAGCTCAAGGCTTAATGCCTGGAGATTGGGAGTGAAAGGGTCACCTGAAAACATCCGTTGAAAACTGAGAAAACCAGAGCCAGTTAGAAAGATATGCTTCCAATTACTGAGGGTCAAGTTGAACCCACAGTCCCACAAGAGTCACAAAGTCAACCTAAGGAAATAGGAACAAAATTTATCTAGTTTAAAAAATTTGAAGGGAATATACAAATGTTAAAATAGATGTGTTGGAACTCTGAGATTACTGGTGATCTTTTTTTTCCAAAATGCCCTTAATATCATTACATTCTTTTTACAATTAAACCGATTCATCCACCTGAAAAAGGGAGAGGGGTGTTGTTATAAAAAATAAAACCCTGCAAGAATCCAGAGCAGATGAAGCTACAGAATTGAAGGGGAGGGGGAAGGGCATCAACATCAACAGAAATGCAGCCTCAGCCTCTTTGGATCCAATGCCCTATCAAGTAGGAAATTCTGCAGATGCAATTCAAAAGGAATAGACCCCCAACCAAAATCCTAATCCTGGGACCCAGCTTGCTAAATTCTGGCTAGGAAGAAATTTGCCAGGCACCTGTTAAAGACATTTTGAGCCCCCAGAGAAAAGCATTCACATTATTAAGCACACAACCTAGATTTGCAAGACAGACTTGATTTCGGAGATTCTATTCTCTTGTTGTCATGAGAACACACTTATTTTGTCAGATCATATGTCCTGATTTTCAGCTCAGGAAAATGTGGTTACCATAGATACCTGTTTTTAAAATGGGATGGGGATTGAATGAAAAGGAAAATCCCATGGATGCTACACCAGCACACCAATAAAGAGAAAGAGGTGGTTATAAAACAACCCTTAGTGATAAATCTTTCTGTCTCTGTTCCACATCTCCCAGCTCTGTAGGTTCAAGGCTGGGAGGTGTGGTGTGCATAGGTAGATCAGACTAAACTGGAAAAACCCAAACAGATCAACAGAATCTAATGGGAACTGTGGGCTCCAGGCTCCCAGACAAGGATTTTTCCAGTGGGTGCTAAATAATGCAGCTAGTTCCTCCATTCTGATTACCCTGGGATTGAAAATGTCCCCTCTCTTTTTCCTTTCCCAATCCACAGTGAGGATTTCCTGAGAGCCATCTCAGGCTTAGACCTGATTTTCTGTTTAAGTAATTCATATTTACCCAAGTGAGACAGGGATTTAATATCCACCCCCCACACACACCCATATTCCTCCCCTCTCCCCATCAAACTCTACATTTTAAAAAGAAGGCATTAAATCAGGGCTTCCCTGGTGGTGCAGTGGTTGGAAGTCTGCCTGCCGATGCAGGGGGCGCAGGTTCGTGCCCCGGTCCGGGAAGATCGCACATGCCGCGGAGCGGCTGGGCCCGTGAGCCATGGCCGCTGAGCCTGCGCGTCCGGAGCCTGTGCTCCGCAACGGGAGAGGCCACAGCAGTGAGAGGCCCGCGTACCGCAAAAAAAAAAGAAGGCATTAAATCAAATGAATCTCTAATTGGTGCAGCCTATAGAAAGATGAGGAGAAAGAGGCTTTCCTTCAATCCCTGTGTACTCTGAAGCCATCATTTCTCCCCTGCCCCACTCCCACCACTCCAGGAAGACAATATCCCGGCAAAGTCAGGCTCTACATCACTTGAATAGAAGAGGGAGGTTTGCACAAATACACAAGGAACCTATGGGGCAGGCTCCCAAGTGCAGAAGCCTTTCTTCATGTGAAAAACTGCCTCATGGTGTTTCTTCAGACTTTAAAATCACTCTTCTATCTCCTATAAGAGGTCTTTATATCTGACGAGTAGAAATACAGAGGTGTAATTCCAGAGTAATTTCAGGAAGAAAATGAGTTGATTTTTAAGTACTGGATTTTTAAATGTGGGATTTGTAACTTTTTTTATACTTAAGGTAAACCTGATAAATATTCACAACTTAAACTTTAGAATAGTATAATATTGCACACTATCTTTTTAGATACCTAATATCTAATCTCTCTTAAGATGAAAGATATCAAAATTAGATATGGAGATTGTGAAGGAGGTGAAGAAAATTCAAGAATAGCAAGCAAGGACATTCCAAAATGAAATCCTTTCTTGCTGACTCCCTGTATGACCTTATCAAGATGTAGACAGTAAGTCACTGGCTTAACCTTCCTCCTCAGGTTCAGGTAATCTAAAATAATCTTATACTATTCAAATCATATTTCACATCTGATGAGATGATGCAGGCATGTACAATAACATTTTGCTTTGCTGCATTCTTTTTTCATCTCTATAGCATCCTCAAAGGCCAAGTATCTGCTGTTCGTCCAATAAAAGGATAATCAAATCAAGCCTTATAATTCACATGCCTGTAAACATACAGGGTTAGTTGTTGGAAGATTTCGTTAGCTGAAAAACACTTGCCTTTTCTCCCCATACCTACATTTCAGGGAAATACAATAAAACCTAAATATATCCAAATTTGTGATGAGTCCAGTTATTCCAGCCTAGACTGGAAGTTATCTTTGCTTTAATACATCATGTTTAATATGGAAGGCACATTAACAGTGAAACATGGTTAGAAAGCAGCAAGGCTAAAATAATTAAGAGAACAGACATGCAAACAAAGAAGTCTCATATCAATCCATCTTATCTAGTCATTCAAGCAGAACATTTATGCAGGTAAAAATCTGTATTGAAGACGAATGAACTTTTATTGCCTACACCTAGTTGTTTAACATAATTGAAAGTAAGACAAAACTGTGAAATGATAACCCTGAAAAAATACCCTACGGAGTAGATGTATCAATTCTTCATATGGTCTAAATCAACGAGGTGCCCCTTCCTGGTATCATTTGATCTTTCCTCCCATCCCCCACCCACCCTCCTTAGTTCTAGCACAAACTTTTTTTTACTTTTTTCTTTATATGTCTTCTCCCTTCTTCAAATAATAATAGCCAATATTTATTGAGTGTTTATTATGTGCCAGGAGCTTTCTAAGCATCTTCACGTGTGTTAAGTCATTTGATTGTCATAACAACCCTATGGGTTTGGTACCCTTCTTAACGCCTTTTTACAACTGCAGAAACTGAGGCACTGAGAGGTTAGATGCCAAGCCCAAGGTGACATATCTTATGCTTCGACACTGAGGGCAAGGACTGCATCTTGGTGGCCTTCTTACGCACGGGCCCAGCACATCGTGGGCCCAGTCATGTTTGTTAGGGAGGAAGAAGTAGGTCTTACTGCCCTGCTGGTGATGAGCTTGGCCTTGCCTGTTCCAGGTTTCATGACCTACATCGTGGAGCCCCTCTTCCGTGAATGGGCCCGTTTCACGGGACACAGCGCCCTGTCTGAGAGCATGCTAAGCCACCTGGCGCACAACAAAGCCCAGTGGAAGAGGCTGTTGCCCAACCAGCGCAGAAGCAGCAGCGGTGGCGGTGGCAGCGGCAGCCCAGACCACACCGGCCCAGGGACCGAGGCTGAGGGGCAGACCGTGACCGAAGGCGACGCCCCGTAGTGCCAGCCAGGCCTGCCCCCTGCTCTGCACACTGAGAGTGCCAGCCTCCTCGCGCAGAGGCCTCTGGGAGGGCAGATGCTCTGAGGGGCTCTTGCCGGTAAACCCAGCCCCTGTCTGGGTGTCGTCCTGGGGCTCTTTGGAACGCCACCCTCCTCCCGCTCACCTGCCTCCCTCCTTTTTCCAAGTGTACAGAAGCCATCCGTCACCTCAGCATTAGCTGCCGAAATAAGCAGCTCCATTCCGCCATGAGGGAGCTGATTCCAGGGGCCGGCTTGGCCCTCGAGGTGAAGACTGGGGAGTAAGAAAGAGGTGCTCCTGCCGTGGGCCCCTCGGGTCCTGGGTCACACTGAGACAGGCGGCACTTCCTAAGTCCAGAGCATTTTTAGCGTTGGCCCTCGGACTGCTGATCTGCATGACAAAAACACCAGCATATTTGGAACTCCAAGGATATTGGTTTCAGGTGCAAAAGCACAAATGAGAGCGTGAGAGAAAGTACCTTCTATTTTAATAATAATTATTATTATAAAAATAATAATAAATCTTTTTAACTTTTCTATTTTATGCACTAGACAATGGATCTAAGACTATGGGCAAACATTACTCAATGTACCCAAACTCGAACAGGGGGTTCACTGTTTTCTTACGGACTTTATGCCACTTTGGGTCAGAGATTTGGCATCTTCTCAATTAAGAAACCACGTTTCCTATCCGATCCAAGGGGAAGGTGCTGTACAGTTCATTCCTTTGCACCATTTGCCAATCTGTCTTTTATCGATAACTCAGATTCAGTGACATGTTTATATTCACACCTGTACATTCTCTGTAAATATCAAGCGCTACTGATTCCCATGCCAAAATACATGAGTATTATGGGATTGCTACCTGTATAAACAATGGCACTGTGAACAGAATACTGTTTGTTAGTTTTAATACAAGAGAATGCATTTGTAAATATGGTATAGAGTTTATTAATATACTATTGTTTGCAGATAAAGGCCTTAACTTTAAACATCTTTCATCTTCTGAAAGCTGCCCAACTTAAATCCTCACAGATGTCCTTCTGAACTGCCTTCCCATGTCCATCTTTATGCTTTCCAGCTAAGGTCACAAAGCAAAACTGAATAAAGTCTTTGAGGAAATATTTTGGAAACTTCACATGCATTCCGCTTGAGACCATAGTGTTTAATCTGTGGCACCAAGCATTGTTTCCTCAGATGAACAAGACCCTTCAGCAAGCCTGAAGTCACTTTCAACACAGCGATGTTGCACTCTGTTTTAACAAGCCAGCTGATAAGCTTGTGTTTATACGACTCTTGTCATGGACATGGCAGTGTGTCAGCCTCGCGGGACACATAGCAGGTCTCACAAACCTTCCGTGACCCCGTCATCTATCCATCAGGGACTTCCCTGCTCCCCTAGCATGCTGTCGTCTGTTCTGGCTACAGTACCAAAGCATCTCTGGTTTATGGTTGGTGTGCATTTCTTTGGTTTATGGTTGGCGTGCATTTCTTTGGTGTCAATAGTAACTGGATTTTCCTTTTTCCTTCATTTCATGTGAACAACTACGCAACTGTTTAGCAGACGTTAACATAACTTAAGGAAAGAAAATATTTCAGTTGTCTGATAGAATTTACCTTCCTGGGTAGGTTTTTGTTGCCATTTTTTCTGCATATACTTGGCCGGAAAATCAATTTATTACAGCATTCTTCTCTAGTCAGCTAAACTCTGTGCATTTTCTTTATAAGTTCTAGCATAACTAATGTTAGATGAAAATTGGCAATGCCCCCTTTCTTTTTACCTTAAACAATGTGGTAGTGGGAGAATGATACTATGATTGTTTCTGCCACTATCAAGGTGTTTCGCAAGCTGATAGAATGTCAGCTAACTCTCATTTCCTAAGTGCAACTCTTTTTTTTTTTTCTTTCCTCCTAACGTACAAATGAAATGTTAGAAACTTGACTGGATTGTATTAAGTTCCTGCAGAAAGACTGAGGCTTGCAGAATAAAGGTTTAGAGGAAATTTGGAAAGTTAGTCGTACTTTCATTAAAGCAGAAGAGATTGTCAGATGGTACTAAAGAAAGTGTGAAAACTTCATGAAATGGGTGGATGATAAGTTGAAATTATTGATATGGGTAAGAAAGGAAGTTGTGAAAACTTAACACTAACTTTGGGTTTTTTCCTGTAATAACTATGAACTGACACATGATTTTTTATTGCTTTAATACTCTGAAGCTCTCAGCTTGGTGAAGCCCCAAAAGAGAATGTATTGAATGTATTTCTGCTTCCAAACCTCTCTTATTTTGGTTTGGTTTGGGCTTTTGAGCAGTCTATTTTTAATGTACATGAGATCAAATCAAGGAAAGCAATTACTGGGGAAGATACAGTAGAGATAAGAAAGAAGATGCTATTTTAGCTAATGGAGCCTCTACTTTGAGTTTAGGAAATGGACTTTGTTTAAACTATATTTATATAATAATTTAAATAAATAAGACTGGACGTGGTTTTAGTAGTTCCAAATCTATAGGACAAAAGTGTATTAGGTCTTGAAGAAGAGCTCACAGAGAAAACTACCAAATATCTAACAGTTGAGCCTATGAAGCAGCTACTAGTACAATACAAATTTGAAGTAAAATGAGATGTGATGCATAAACTAGATACATTTGTCTCCTTCTTTCAACCATCTGGAGATTTCTTGAGTTTCTCACTTTTTGACCAAAAAAAAAAAGAAAAAGAATATGAAAACTCTTTTTTTTCCTGCCTACTGGTGGCTCTCTAGCAATATTTCAATAGAAGGTGTCCAGTGTCCAATTACTAGTTAAGACACAGCTGTTGGATTATCCGCGGGCTTTATCTTCACATTCTTTTTCTCTTAGTCCCTGGACCATCAAGAGCTGACTTTCCGAGTTTAATTCCTTCAATGCTTGAGAAGAAAGGAATCAAAAAGCTATTTTTAGTAAGTGAAAGCTAAAGTTAAAATCAAATTAAGAGAGAGAGAATAGATATCACTGCCAGGCCTGATAGGCAAAGCCTTTTTCTTTTTACAGCACCTGTGAACAGTCAGAACCTTGTTCCTGGAACGCTGACCTCCCCATAACTCCCTGCTAGGCTGAGTGAAAATCCTGCTCTGTTTCTACCTGCCTAAGGCTTCCCGCAATGGGATGTGGAGCGTGTCCTGCAAAGCTGTCACCAGGTAGTGCTTCCTACAAGCCACAGACTTGTTTTGTAACTTTTCTCATGTTGAATCAGATCTGCTCACTGATTTGAACATTGGTTATGAGCTTGTATCTCACTGTATTTCTTATGCTTTGTTCTTTTACGCAAACCCTTACAATTGTGTTGTTTTGTGTACACACGTGAGGTTTGGAAAAAAAAAAAAAAACACCTTGTGAATTTTTGCTCAAAATGTGGCCGAAATATCCATTGGCATGTCTAGATAAACAATTAAAAATAAAGATAATTTCTTAAAAATATTGCAATATGAAAATATTCTGATTCTCACCAGGTAACATGTTACCAGCCAACCAATCAGATTCAAGGTCAAGGTCAAGAGCACAGATGCAGCCATGATCCATGGGACTCATTCCACCAGGGGCTGCAGAAACAGCCATGTCCATGAAGCCATCATTTGCCAGTTAGTACCAAGATAGGGAAAAAGGGCCACCATTCAGCTCTGCATTTCCCCTGAGTTCTGATATTTTTCTGATCCACATTTGTCAAATTCATATATGAATGAGAATGAGGTACAATGTTTTAGGTTGTGGAAACATAGTGGACTTACTTGTGAAAACTATGGTCTTGCATTTCAGGATTGAAAGCCAGCAAGAACAATAGAACAGTTCAGGCAGGACAACTGAGTGTCTAAATCTATCTGTAAATAGAGGAGAAAAAAAAAAAACCCACCACCCATGGTTCCCAGGAACAGTCTTATATCTTTACATAGTCTCCTCATGTTCATTTTGTTAAGATTTGTATTCAGAATCTCACTGATACCCTAATGCTTCTCCATGTCTGAATGCAAAGTCACTTTTTTCATTTGTCCACACTCCATATCATCCAATTAAAATCAAAAGTGGGACCCCAGGGCTTCCCTGGTGGCGCAGTGGTTGAGGTCGCCTGCTGATGCGGGAGACACGGGTTCGTGCCCCGGTCCAGGAGGATCCCACATGCCCGCAGAGTGGCTGGGCCCGTGAGCCATGGCCAATGAGCCTGCGCGTCCGGAGCCCGTGCTCCGCAACGGGAGAAGCCACAGCAGTGAGAGGCCCGCGTACCGCAAAAAAAAAAAAAAAAAAAAAAGGGGGACCCCCCCCCCCCCAGTGGTTTCCCAAGTAAAGGTCAGACATGACTTTCAAATGTACCCAGGAACCTAGCAGACACATCGTCAAATAGGCCAAGCCTATGTAAGCAATTGAATTTAAATCAACGAATTTTTTTTAAAGAAAAATCTTTTATTGCAATAAATATAGTATATGCTGTTTCATACCAAAGAGGCAAAATAGAGCTATTTATTCGTATTTATATTTAAAGTATATTTTTAAAGAATAGTTCAATTGGCAAATTTTTATTATCCAATCAAATATTAATATTAAAAATGACAGAAAATGTCTTAAGTGTGAAAATCTACGTGGTGCCAATAAGCAAAATATTTTGTAGTGTCCTTTAATCTGTTTTGTGTGTATGTATGTGTGTGTGTGTGTGTGTGTGAATTTCCATAATACAGAAAAACATTGGCATTCGTTCTTCTCTTTGGTAATGTATGTTCATTTGTGTAAAACTATAAATTTCAACAAACAATATTTGTTGCTCTCAGTCTCTCACAAAATATCTTTTTATTTACATGTAGAAACGTAAGCAAGTAAGTGTATTTGTACAAGCTGTTTTGCTACGTCACACAGTCAAAAATTTGGAAAACAGAATTCACTAAAAAGAAATTTCCGTTTGACAATTGTTAACTCCTGTAGACTCTTATGAGACCATGGTCTTTCAAGTCAAGGGTCTATATTCCTTTCAGCTTACTGCAACACTGCTTGATTTAAACTTTGTCATGATTGCAATATTGGTCACTGCCATAAAGTAGGAAATTCAAGGGAAAAAAGAATCTATTTATTGTGTAAAAGGTGTTGACCTAGGATTGTAACACACACATGAACTATACAGGGATAAGTAAAAGCAAATGCCATCTGGGCAGTCAGAGTGATTCCATAACTGTGTAGCCTTACCCCAATGAAAACAGGATTGGAAAAATTAGGACTATCACAACCAAAGTCAGTAACCTTGTGAGATCAGCAAGCCACAATTGCCTTTTCCGCATTGGAAATTGGAATAATGTAAATCAACAAATACTGATTGAGGATCTACTATGTGCCAGAGGTTGGGCTAGATACTTGGGATATAAAAAGACCCAATCCCTCCAGAGCGTTCAGACTTGTGTCAGAGATTGGCACTACCAGTGAACTCTTCTTAGAGATTTCATGAGGACATCTGTGAGGGCTTACCTCCTGGAGAACAATGTAATATAGTGCAGATAAGATGTGGAGACAAAAGTGGTCCCAGTCTTGGTTCTGTCACTAACATATTCTGTGACTTCAGGCAAGTTACTGAACCTCTACAAAATTATTTCTAGACAATAATGGTTTTGTTATGGTTTTGGTGTTGTTTCTGGTTTTGTTACGGCAATTAAAGGAGATTGCATACAAAAAGCACCTAGCACTCTGTCTGGTACGTGGTAGGCTTTTCAGAGACACAAGTTCCCTCCTGTTAAATTATAAGATGCTTTACAAATAGCCATTCACACGTGGTAAGAATGTGGAGAATATATGGAGAATAATGTAGTAAAGAGATGCTAGTAATCTTACACTGGGAAGACAAACTCATTTCTATATATTTTTTTAAAACAGATTGATTAGTTTATGTACTCATTTATTGGCAAGACTGGGTAAAAAGATTACTCAATGAAAACTCTTGCCTCAACTACAGCCTACTTTTCTGTTTAGTCCTCTGTATTTTAGAGTAGAAGATAGTGTATCTTTTGTTACCAGTTTTGTCAGAAATTTCTGTGAAGGAAACAGCTCCTAAGAACAAAATATGAGGCATTTATCTCCCTTTCATCTGTGCCACCAAAGCCCCAGATCCAGCTGGTGATAGCTCTGGTCCTCTGCGTCAGTCCCCAAAAAGTTTGCTGGGCTTTCACAGGCTCTGCAGGAGCAGGCATGGGCTGGTGCTTCCAGGATACGCTTGGTTCACTCATTCACACATCTCCAAATGTGTTCTCAGCTAAAGCTTACTGCCTGCCCTAGAGCAGGACGGAATGCAGAGGCATTTCCTAACAACGTGTCCGAGGAGGGAGAAGACTCCGTCCTGCCTCCGTGGGAATGTAATAGACAAACATTTGAATAATGACTAAATGAGGAGCTTTTAGCTGTGAAACAGTCCATGATTTTTTTTTAAGTAAACCAGAGAGATTATTAGACAAATTTTAAGTTTTAGCTGATATGGTTTGCAGATGCATGATTGCCTTGCTTAGTTAGTCATCTAAGCAACAGTGTATTTTTGATTCAATTGCCTGAAATACTTTAAATTCTAGTATTGCAAGTGCTGATTTAATCTCCAATAATTTTTTCCTTTTAAGGAAGTGGTACGGTAGAGTTTCAAAAGTGAAGGCTTTGGAGTCAGACAGACCAGAATTCAAAGCCCTCATTATCACATGCTGTTTAACCCCAGGAAGTCAGTTTAACTTCTCTGTGCCTCCATTTCCAAATGTATAAATCGAGGGGAACACCTACCTCCCAGGGCAGTGTGAGGTCAAAATTAGAGGACATAGATAAACATATAGCATGGGTTCTAGCAGAAAGAGGGTACTCAGCAAATATAAATTCTTACATCATTTAAAGAACAAAAATCTACAAAGTGGGAGTTGGGATATGACTTTTGCTTTCTCTAGGTTGTACTTTTTTGTGCAAAAGAAAACACAAGACCCATTACTAGACATTGAGCATGATTATATATACAGGTGACCAGTTTGACTATAAAACAATCCTTATAATATGGACAAAATATTGTAAAAAATGATTATAGAGGAAGACAGTGTCCCTTGGGTACTAAGGATACACTAATAAGACCAGGGACAAATAAGGAACTGTCTTTTCTGACTGTAAAGTAAGTACTCCTCAGCCCAACCAGAGAGAAACAGTCTGTCAAGCCTTTCCTAGAGGTAATGATAATACAACCCGGTTATTTAGTTAACAAACAAAACTTGATACACTGTCAAGTTTTTCATGAATTCCAATTATATCCTATAAATTCTATCCATAGAAATTTCCAGTGGCCCTTCCTCTTGTAGTATTAGATTCTGGCCACTGACAGCAGAGGTGGAGAATCCAGGGGAGTCTCTGTAAATAGATGATCCTAAAATAGATTCTCTTCTCCCAAACTATGCTTGATAATGCATATGCTAAAAGATGCTAAGTATTCCTTGAAAAAAAAATGGCTTCATAGCCAAAGATATTTGAGAAACAATGGATTAAACACCCAGGCTCCTCTCCTGCATGCTTCTCTGAACCTCCCAGATGCTAATGCACAGTTCCAAGAAGACAATATAAATGATATTGTTTGGATCTAATTTTGGTTTCATATCATGAAGGATTCCTTGACCACAACCCACAATGATCTCCCTGTTTATCATTTGCTTTAGTTTTGTCAGTGATTATTAGTTATTTATTATTGATATGT